CTAATTGAATTTGATTCACTTTTACATTGAGACTTCTCATAATTATAGTATGAATGATCACTGCAATGGAAGCGTAGCGTAGAGACAATCTACGAATACAATTCCACGTACTTCCCATTTGGCGTCTTCAATGGTCAGAACCGTTTTGCCGATGTTAATATTAAAACCGTTGCCGGAGTACCGTAGAAAAGAATCTTTCAGAACCACTTCCTCTTCGTTCGCAAGGTATATCTATAAGAAGGGATGTAAAGGAGAACTAAGAAGAAATAGAACTCACTTTTCCGGAAACATGAAGAGGTTCCGGTTTATTTGTAAGCAGGTTTTCCACGTCTTCAATGCTGCTAGCTTCACCGGATGCTACAGTCAACACAGTCGCTCCAGAAATTTCTGATATTGAAGCAACAGCCGGCATTGACATGTCTAGATATCAAAAATCAGGTGTCTCTCCATTATCTGGATCCATTTTGCCAGAAAGAAGTCTTTCTATACCAGCTCATGAGCTGATAAGCTTTGTTAATTGGAAGTGTCAGCTGTAATCATTCAGTACAGGTACTTTCCTTACCTGGACCCATTTCATTGTTCAAGAGGGTAATCCCAGAAATGGGTCCAGGTAATGGAAGCGTAGGCGATTAGGAATCATATTATCGCCGAGAAGATAGTACCTTCGAAATTAACGCTTGCTCCCAGTAATCCATCCCCGAATGACTGCAACGGTATTCGAGGCCAAACATCGCTACTCATACAGCTTCTCGCTACATCTGAAAACCGTAATATTAGTTTTTTTTTCAGAAGAAAAATTGATAATTTCAAAGCATTTTTAAGTTTTCATTCACGCGTTTGTGAATGAAAACCCGTGAGTAAATTTTCATAAATTTAACTGATGATTAGGCTTCGCATTGTCAAGCTTTATCTGTGGATAGGTCAACTAACTTCACCTGACTCTGTAAGACATTCGGATGCACTTGCAACCCAAGTCAAAGTCTATTGTCCTATCAGAGAGTTCCGATATCAGTCTGCTACCGAATAGGGCTTGTTTCGTTTAAGCGGTGGGATACTTCCTGACCAACTTTTGTTAGCAACGCCTCTTTCCTACAATGGCACTCACACCAATCGTGTCCATTTTTATGATTAAGCTCAAGTTTGGGCACACCATAGGTATAAGTAAGATCAAATTCGAGCTCGCTTAAAATGATTTTTTTCGTACCGCTTAATCCACCATGTAAGATGGTGGACTGGTATCAGAATTCTCTGGATAGAGCACAGATTAAGGGGAGGGCCTTCCATAAATCGTTAATAGACCAACACGTATAGTAATCCTATGAGACTTCGTTGACATATGCCAATTAGATCTCGTATGATTACTTACACGAAAAATCAAGAACTTCCATCTTTCTTAAGCAATGCGAAGGCTACTAATAGCTTGTGTCTCTTATTACGAGTGTCAGGCACCCTCGTACAAACAATTTCGTTTCACAAAGTGGGAGAAGGGGAGGGAGGGAGGAACAGTTGAGCCGTGACTCATGAAAATTGTCAATTCAGCAGAAGAATTGTAAAATTTTTATGATGATCAGAATAGGTTCCGATGGTTAGAATGTTCAAATTGTTTGCTAATTTACGTACTTTTCTGCAGTGAAACTCATGAAGCATATTACTGATGGTTGAACAATCCAAGGTGGAAATTTTCCATGGGTGGTAGTAATTTGCTCGAAACTGGCAGTTAGTAATCATTGTCTACTCGCAGTTAACGCATAGGTGCATCATGAAATAACGACCAAAAGAGACGCTTGCAGTGAAGAGGCACGTCGTTGCAAAACCACTGAAACGT